ATGGGGTGTTGTTTGAATGGTCATGCTGTATCAACAGAAATTCCCAGAGGTGTGAAACACAGCAGATTCTTTACAGTGTGATGATGGGACACAGCATAAGTCCACCTCTGCCAGGTGAGAGGAGCTTTCTGCAGCCTGTGGTGGGCTCCAGGATGTGGACCATTCATGTGGCCCACTGGGATAGCCCAGGCTCTGAGCTCAGCACTCCACCCATTCATGCGGCCCACTGGGATAGCCCAGGCTCTAAGCTCAGCACTCCACCTGCCATTGCAATTGCACTCATCCTCAGCCACTCTCGAAGGCAGGTATTACTGTGGGCACAGAGAGGTTTGATAACTTGTCAGAGATCCTGTGTAGGAAACCAGGTCAGGATCCAACCAGTCTCTCCAACAGCCTAGGCGTTAAATGAACACTGGCCTGCTTCAGAATACTGGGCCTGTGGTATGTGCAAATTCACAGGACAGCTTCCATATCGGGCCTATGAGGAAATCTGGTCTAACAGAATCCAGAAAGACAAATTTAGCTAAACAGGTCAAGCCTGTCACTATGCTGCTATGCTTGAGTTGTGTTAAGCCACTCGTTTAACAAACCTGCTTCTCCTTTCATGATTTCAGTAACACTGGCCTCTTCCTCGGCCACGTGGCTCCTGCCGTCTCCTAGGTTCTCTTGCACTCAGGGTTTAGTCTTCCCTCCCTACAGCTAATGATGCATGTATTGCCTCACTCTCTGATCCTCTCCTAAATCTGCTGCTCCTGTGTTTTCTGTGCCTTATCCGTCCCTGCCCAGTCTAACATGCAGATTTTGGTCATTCCAAAGTCGTGTATAGATCTAATCACAGGACTCTCTGCTTCCAGCAGCAGCCTGGATAAGGGAAGCATGCCCACACGGTCCTCTTTCTTCATGCCGGCAAGTCAGCACCATTACTATTACCTAAGTTTATTTCTAACATATCTCAACATCTTCATGTACTCCCTCTCAATAAAAGTAACTGAGCGTAACCCCATGAAGACCATCAAATCTATCATTCTCTTCCCCTCTCTCTGGATGGAACAGGAAGCCAGGCTGCTTTAGGAAATCTTCCCAAACAAGCAAAGGGGACTTCCCTGTCTCCTCCGATGTGTGACCTGACCTTGTGTGGATCTCAGGGTTGGCATTATAGACTACCTGACCTTGCCCATCTCTCCTTCACACCCTCTCCTCTTCCTCCTACCACCAAAAACCTTACATCGTCTCTCCATTCTCCAGGCATATTTTTGAAACCATTTCTCTATCTGATGTCCTCATCTGTATCTAGCATAACATGAATATGTGATTTTTATGTGTGTGTGTCTATCACTGTTTTGGTGTGTATTTCTTGTGGATACAAATTCTATGTGCTCATGTATGTGGAACATATGCATGCTGACACATAGACCTAGTTCCAAATGATCTGAAAGGAATATAATCGTAATTGAATACTTGCATATAAATACAACATACTCGTGATGGGGGGGAATGCAGGTGGGGTTTCAGCTAGCATTTTATTAGATAAGGTTTGTGATTAGTGCTGTATTAACAATGAATCAGCCTATTTGTGGGTCACTGCGGTGACTCCTTTGCAAATCACATATGTAAATATTTCTGCCTGTGGTGTAGGAGGTGCTGAGCCATGCCCTCTGTAGGCAGCATATGAAAAGAAATGCATGACTGAAAAGATACCCACTGGCTTAAGAAAAGCAATTACAATACTTCCTAAAAATCTAGTTTGAATTAACAAGTACAATGTTTACAGTTTTCATTTTGTGTGTGTGGTTTTCTTTTAGAGACGGGGTCTTGTTATGTAGGCCTGGCTGGTCTCTAACTTCTGGGATCAAGCAATCCTCCTGCTGTTCAGCCTCCCAAAGTGCTGGGATTACAGGCGTGAGCCACCGTGCCAGGCCTCACTGTTTTCAACTCTGATTCGACAATTATACTTTTAACTCATTACCTGTCTTATTCCTTTTACGACAAACTCAAAATTTTCATTTTACGGAAGTGTTTGGGTTCATCTTTTGCTTTTCTGTCATGTTCTGAAATATGTGCAATAACAGAATCTCTCGAAATATTACCTCCGTTAAATGTTCTTTGGCTTTAGGGAGAGGTTCCCGTGGGGAACAAGAAACCAGGTGCATAAAGGATTCCTTTCTAATGTCTCTCCTTGAGTAGAAGTCCGCATCTCTCAGCCTGGTCTAGCTACCTGCATGAAGTATTCCGAAGAAGGGAAACAGGTCAAAGAGGACGTTCATGTGCACTCTGGCTTCCAGCTGGTCATCTGAGTAAGTGATCGCAATTAACCGAAGAGCCGCAGGGAAACACTTCCTGGAATTCTCACCCACAGACAAGAACAAACTGGGGTGGGGCCCAACCCCTTCACCTACGCGCCAGGAGGGTAGCGGCCTGGCGGGTGGGGCCAGGCTCGGCCGTGACGCCACCGAGAGATGCGGGGGCGCTGGGCTGGGAGCCTCGTGGCCCCCCCCACCCCGCCCCGAGTCCGCCCCTTCCCGCCCGCATCCCGCCCGCATCCCGCCCGCATCCCGCAGGGGAAGCGAGCCCAGTTCTGCGCGGCCCCTCGCCTGAGATTTAAAGCTGCAAGTTTTGCTCTTGGGACCAGTGACTTTCGCTCCGGTACGGGAAGAAGAGCCTACCTTGGGTTTGGACGTTTAAAGAGCGGGGTTTGGACTCGGTGAGTATCGCGTTAAACCGCCCTGGCCGTGGAAGTTGAATGGGAGTAAAGTCGCTGGGAAGCTGGCCGGGGGCGGGGCCTCCCCTCCGCTCGTGTTTTAAACACGGAGCGCGCCGGGCAGCCCTCGCTTGACGGAGTGAGTTCCCTTCCTTTGTTACTCGGGCCCCCAGAAGCTCCCGGCAGAAGTGCTGTGAGCTGAACGCTTTCCTCTCACTCGGAGAGGAAAAGCCCGTCCTTCCTCCTGCGCGGCGCGTAGAGCCGGGGTCCCTCGTGAGGGAAGCGGCGTGCCCCGGGCGCAGGGGCGCGCGGCCACGCAGTTCGCCACCTGGCGCGGCGCCCGGGGCCGGAGGTTCCCTGGGCCATAGGTTCCGCGCGGAGGCCGTCTGGGGTCAGTTACGCGGTGACACCGGCGGTGTGGCATCTCGCCGCGGGCCGAGGCCCCTCTGAGGGTGGGAATGTGGCTCCCCTTCCGGATCCCTAAGTGGGAAGGTTGTGGCGGCTCGGCGGGATACGTCCCAAGGCCTCGGATGGTTTGCCTTTGTGCCACGGCCCCAAGCCGGGCTACCTGGGTCCCCTGCGCGGTCCGGGTTTTGGGGCAGTGCGCCGCCCCTCTGCCCCACCCCCGCCCCGCCGCGCCTCCTCGCCTCCTTGCCTCAGCGGCTCGCGGTCTCCAGCGCGGGAAGCTTCGAGTGTGCCCGCTCCGGGCCGGGCGAGGGCTCGCAGGGAAGGGTGGCGAGGAGGTGAGGGCCCGCCAGCCCTCGCCCGGCGGGTGGCGCCAGGACTTCAGGCCGGGGGCGCGTGGCTGGAGTGCACGCCGGCTCGGGGCCCGCCGCCCTGGCTCGAACCGCACGGCCCAGCGCCGGGGAGCTGGGGAGCCGGGCAGCCGCTGAGGCCCTCCCACCGCGGCCCGGGCCCGCCGCCCTCTGAAGGCGTGGCGGGGAAGGAGCCTCGTCCCCTTTGTTTCCTGCCGCCCCGCCGCGAGGGCGCCCAGCGGCGGTGACCCCGGCCGGATCCCGCCCAGGTGCGGCAGGTAGGCTAGGGCCGGACAGCTCCGGCTGGGGGCGCTTCCCGGGGCTGGCGGGGGCCCCCTCCCTGGGGAGCTCCGGCTCCTCGGTGGCGGGACGGGCCCGGGCGCGGGAGCCGCGAGGCGAACGCCGCACCCACCGGTTCGGTTTGCGGCCGAGGGCCCCCCGACTGGAGGGAATTCGAGTTGAAAGCCCGCGTGTGGCTGGAAAGAGGAAACCGCCAGCCTCGTGCGCTTCCGGGGGGTTTGTGGTGGGGGAACTGGGGACGGGGAATCGGGCAGGGAGGGAGGCCGGAGCCGCGACTCTCCCTGGCCGGGAGGTCCTGACGGCTCTTGCCTCTGACTCTGCCGAATTTCATTTTGAATCCTAGTGTGGCAGAGGCAGTTGCTTGCTTGGATACCATACAAGTAAAAGTAACCGTTTTCAACTCAACTCTACACACTACGTTCTTGGCCAGTGCTGGTTTTCTGAGGCTTTGGTCCTGTCACAGGGACACCGACGTGGTAACCGCACCGAGGCTGGCGGGGGCCTGTAGTTCATATTTACGGTAATTGTCTGATGAAAGTACATCCATCAGAACTGGATTTGTTCCTCTGTGCCTGTATTTTGGGAAACCTTGCCTGGTCCCTGCGGGGGAAGGGAGAGGAAGGTGAAAAGCTGAAGTTGACCCAGAAAAGGATGATTGAAGGTAGTCATGTTAAGCAGTGGCACCGAAATGATCCCACCCTCAACTTTCTGAAAGGGTGATTGGTGATCAGCAGCTAACCTTTTAACTTTCTCCAAAAAAATGTATGGTAGATTTTCTATCCGGTCACAAGCGAGGAAGTGAAAGCTGCTTTTTGGGGCCAACTCTTTGCTTTTAAAGCAAGCTAAATGCAAAACCTGAAATGTTTCCGTTTTGTGTTTAACCTGCTTGTCCTCTCTCTTGCCCCTTCTCAGCTTCCTTCTCCTCCCGGACACGCTCTGAGCCTGAGGAGGAGGCTGACTCAGGCTGACCCTTCCCGCCCCTGCAAGGCTCCCTGTGGCACCTAAGGTAGAACCAGTGTTATTACGGGAAAAGCCCAAGCCAGAGCCCAGAGCAGCTGTTCCCCAGAAAGTGGGAGATGAAGATGAGTAGGAGGTAGAAATGCGTATCACTGCTCTGCCCCGAGAAAACTCAGAAGGTGCAGAAGAATTTTCAAAATAAAGTGCAGGCGCTATCAAATAAAAAATGAAACATTATATTTCATTAAAGTGGAGATCACTTATCTCTCTTCATAAAAGACATTCAAATGGTAAGATTGTAAAAAAAGAAAATAACTTTCTAATTCTCAAAAATAGAACAGCTTGAGTAATAACTCATGGGTTTTCAAATGGGTCATCTTTTAAAATGGGTCACTTTGGCTAGAATCCTTACACTTGGTGACTTTCACATTGTAAAGGGTCAAGTTCCTTCTGAGGCCTAATTGCACTAGAATCTGCATTTCAGAACACAGGAGGTGTCAGGAAGAAACTGGGAGAAATTCAGAAGGAAACTGTCTCTTCTCAGAATAACAAATGTACCCTGTTTTGGGGGAATTTTATGTATGCTCAAGTAAATAGATCTCAGCTTTGCATTTTATAAGACATGATGCCTTTTCTGAAATATTTCCATAGCCATTATTTTAATTCATTGTTATAATAACCTTGTAAAGAGAGGAATTCATTGTATCAGTTCCAGAAACTGAGGCATGGTAAATTATTACAAGAGCTCTGCCCTTTGACATCAAATCTCTGTGAGCAAAGATAGAGCCAGAACAGTGTAAACCTAAAATTAAATACTTTCCTTACAGTATGCAATATCTAACTATTATGTATTAGTTTATATACAGGGGATGTAAGAATCTTTATATTTAAAGGATAGATTAGGTGAGATGAGATTTGAATAAAAAAGCAATTTTTAAAAACTAAATTCTACAAATTCAGATGCTGGCTTTGATATGTAACGTATTAAGATTTATCTTCCATAGAAGGCGGTCACACTAGAAGCCCTCTACAGAAGAGAATGTTCTACCCAGTGTGTAGACAGCAAAGCCCAAAAGTTCAAGTTCAGAATAGTGGTCCACAGCCGAAGATCCACCTAATATTTCAGATTGGATTTCTTTTGCTCCTTTACTGTGACTTTCTATAACTTCTTCACAGTGCTCTAAGCAAAATAAGTTAAAAGATGGACTCACCTCAAGTTTCCTTCTCTTACTTTAGAGGACTGTATGATCTTATACTTGTGTCATCCTAATTGAAATATATTTTAAGTGCTTGTGGGAACCTTGTTCTTTCCTGCCAATAATAATGGAAGACCATTATTCCATTAATGAAATCATGGGAAACATGGGAAAACCATATTCAGCCAATTAGGGACGATACTTTTGCTTCAACAGTATTTGTGAAGTGTTAAATGGCCCTTAGCAATCAGATTAGTATTTTAAAAAACTCCTACCTAATTGTTTTCTGAGAAGAAGCATATTATGAATATAGCTCAGCATTCTGAAAAGAAAACCTCCTGAAAAAAAAATCAGCCATCCACTAACTAACCCATCCTCATAAAGCTACATGAACAGGTTCTGAAGAAAGGAAATTTACAGATATGGAACATCTCATCTGGACTGACATTGTCAATAAGTTATCTCAAATGATCCTCAGAAAACAGTGTCTGGTACATAGTTTAGAGACAAGTCAAGCTCATGTGACCAGTAAATGGAGGCACAGTGCACATCTCCTTTTGTTTGCATTTAAACGCTCTAAGGAAATTTACAGATATGGAACATCTCATCTGGACTGCCATTGTCAATAAGTTATCTCAAATGATCCTCAGAAAACACTGTCTGGTACATAGTTTAGAGACAAGTCAAGCTCATGTGACCAGTAAATGGAGGCACAGTGCACATCTCCTTTTGTTTGCATTTAAACGCTCTCAGCTTTTTGACTCTCTTTCGCCTCCATTCAGGTCCAGATTCCAGCTTGCACTGGAATATTCACTGACTCTTTGGTAGAAGTTGTACACCTGAAACATCTCTGAGGTCTTTTTAGCATCCTGCCCATGGCCTACTACACAGTATGTGACAAGTTAATATTTGTTGAATTAATTAAATGTTGGTATTAGCCTACTTTCAGGGCTGCCCACTGTAATGCCTAGAACAGGGCAGGCACTTAATAAAGGGTAGTTAACTTACACTAAATGTGGATCAACCAAGACAGAAACATGTGACATATACCTCTTGTTTTACACCATCTTCTACTTTTGGTACCTATGTGTTATAAACCCTCTATCAAGGGCTGCTTCTAAATACAGTGTCCAGAATGGGACACAGGAACTGCCATTGGATAATAGGCAGACACTGGGTTGGATCGTCACCCTGTTTCTGAATCATGGTTTTTCTTACTATGACTGGACCGCAGCGAACCCTTCTGATCTCTTTTTTTCCCTCTTTTCGCTCTTCCCTAATTTCTAGCCAAACTAAGTGATTTGACATTTACCCACTCAAGCCACAACTTTTTCTCTTATGTGCTTAAAAAAATTCCTGTATAGTCTTTTTTGGAATGTCTTATTCCCTGATCCCTCTACTTCACCCTTTTTCATTTTTTTTGGAGACAGAATCTCTGTCACCAGGCTGGAGTACAGTGGTGTGATGATCTTGGCTCACTGCAACCTCTGCCTCCCAGGTTCAAGCGATTTTTGTGCCTCAGCCTCCTGAGTAGGTGGGATTACAGACGCACGCCACCACACCCAGCTAGTTTTTGTATTTTTAGTAGAGACAGGGCTTCACCATGTTGGCCAGGATGGTTTCGATCTCCTGACTTTGTGATCCACCCTCCTTGGCCTCCCAAAGTGCTGGGATTACAGGCATGAGCCACTGCATCCAGCCCACTTGACCCTTTTAAGCCAGCTGAAATGCTCCCTGCCCCACTCCTCTCTTCTCTTTTTCTTTCTCCCATCCAAATACTAACCAGGCCCAACCCTACTTAGCTTCTGAGATCAGCCAAGATCGGTCACATTCCTGGTGGTATGACCATAGACTTCTCCTTCTCTTTCTGACCTGTGTCTTCCTCCTTTCCTCCCCAAACCCACATTTGAATTCTGTTCTAGCTCCTGCTCATTTGCCACCTCTCCCACAAAGCCTTCCCCCATTTCCATCTTCTCCCCACTTCCCTCATCTCAGAGGAGAGCTCTCATTCACAGAGCACCTGATTTGCGGTTCACGTTTTGTTGTCCCTCGGTATCATTTGGGAATTAGTCCCAGGACACCCCCATATCCACACATGCTCAAGTCCCTTATATAAAATGATGTAGCATTTTCATTATAACCTATGCAGTATTCCCATATACATTTTATTTTTTATTTTTATATTTTTAGAGATGGGGTCTCACTGTGTTGCCCAGGCTGGAGTCTAGAAGCATGTAGCCGTGAACTCCTGAGCTCAAGTGATCCTCCTGCCTCAGCCTCCCAAGTAGTGAGATTACAAGTATGAGCCACCATGCCTAGCCCATGTATTTTAAATCATCTCTGAATGACTTATAATACCTACTGCAACGTATATGCTATTGTACACAATTGTTACACAGTAATGACAAGAAAAAAATGTCTGTACATGTTCAGTATAGACAAAACCATACTTTTTAAAATATTTTTGATCCACAGTTGATTGACTCTGAGGATGCAGAACCCAGGAATGTACCAGGGCCAACTGGATATGGGTTTCCAATTCAGATTCGTGGAGGAAGGCTACCAAACGTTAATGTAACGTTTCAAATATATCTTAGTTTTTCTGGGGCAAAGCCATCTTAAAAAAATCTCAAGAATGTTTGAAAAATTCTAGCTGGAGTCAACGTTGTTCTTCTAGTGACTCAAATAAAGCAGTCATTGTGTCTGGGGAGTCCTAGTGGGGTGGCAGGGGTGGGGTTGGGCATGGTAGCTATTTGCCGCAATGTTTTGTATCACATTGAAGGGATGGGCATGCATTTTAGGCAATAATTCTTACTCTTATTGATAGATGAACTTGTATTTTTGATTCATCTACCTTATGATGCATAACTGGTTTACAGCTAGCTGTTCATCAGGTTTACTTCTTATGTGTCATTTTATAAGCTAACTTCAAATATGTCTTCAGATTTTCCCTGCCTTTACACATGAAAACAATTTTGATACAGCTTTTTCATTAGAGAATGACAGCTTTTCCGGGCGTGGGTGTCTGTGCCTGACTCCTCATCTCTCATTTTACCCAATACTTGCTTAAAACATCCTCCTCGAGTCCTGTACCTTTTTTGCCTCTTCTCCTTCCTTCCTCCCCACCTCTTTTTTCCCCCTTCTGCAACTTTGTATCTCCGTCCTTAGAGTCCCTGAATCTTTTTTGTGGTTGAAAGATTATACCCAAAGGACACAGACTGATGAAGTCACTTCTGCCCATTGTCTAGTACTATTGAGACCAAGAAGAAGGAGGGAAAACTGAAATGGAAGGTTTGAAAAAGAGCATGTTAGTAAAGAAAATAAGAACAAATGCTAACAAAATGCAGCAAAACATAAAGGACTCCAAACTTCTGGCAGTGAAGCAAATTCTCTTCTATCTTGGGTTACTTATCTGGACCCTGCCCACCTGCTCCCCTGCCCTCCCCTCCTGATGAGAAGTACAGGAAATCCTGTGCCCACGGTAGGGAGAAGGAGCAGGTGAAGAGCACAGGGGTGGGGCTGGGGCTGGCCAGCTGCTCTAAGCTGCTATGGAGTCTGGAACTTGTCGACATTACATGGTTAACTCGGTATCTTGGAGCCTCAGTATCTTCTGCAAAATGGGGAGATCCTTTCTCCCACAAAGGTTTTTGTAAGCCTTAAAGAGCTACCATATTTGTAAAGCATTTGCAGCAGGGCCTAGTGTACGGTAAACATACCCATGGTAGCAACTGTTGCTAGACTGGGTAAAAAAAGTTCGTTTCTTAAGTAGGCAAGAAAAAAACAGACAAGAATTGTATTTAAAAGAGCAAGCACCCTGTCAACCCAAACAACTGTGTTGCAAGAATGAACACAGAGGGTCAAGCTTAGAAAAGCAAGTGTTTGACCTCTCTGAGACCTCCTTTATATGACAGCTTTTTTCTTGTTTCAAATTTTGCATAATCAAACTGGTTACTGGGAATTATTATTGGTTTAATATAACTTCTCTAAAATAAGAGAATATAATCCCATGCCACCAGTTCCCTTAGTAAATACTTTGGGTCTGTCTTTACCCATTTGTTCATTTGATATTTCCCTGTCTTTATTTCCCCCATAACCCGCAAACAGAAATGTACAGCCATGTTTACCTTCTATTATAAAGAAAGATATAACTTAGTTTATGTAGGTGGAGATCTTGAACCTGGATTCACATTGTAGGTTTTATTACCCACTTTTCACCTCTGTCCCAAAGCCATGATTGCTAAAGTGGAATGTAAAGTCTTTGGACTAACACTGAATCAAGAACTAACTCTATAAATGTATTCTCTGAAGAAGGATAAGAACTCCAAATGGCTTCTAACTTTTGCCCATGGCTTGAAATAAACTTTCATAGAGCTAAAGTCCCAGGCCACAGAAACACTTGAAGACAACCATTAGGTAGATTTCTTTTTCTTTTTTAGAGGTATTATATTGGAAATATAATACTTGCAAAGATATCTAATGTTTCATCTTAAAATGTGAGCTATGAATTCAAATTTCACATTGTCCCCTTCCTTCTTGAGCAAACAGAATAGGCAATTACTACGAAATAGTTACGAGTTACATTTCTTAACACCAATTAGTTACTGTAACTAATTTATTAAGGAAAAAAATCGATGAAGATGAAATTATAGCTTTTCCAGTACGTCTGGGTCTGGGGCTTATTATTCCTGATCTCTCTCAACAAAGTTTGGCTTCTGAAGATTGGTCCTAGCTATACTTAACAGGACACAGATGATGAGAAGCAGTCAGGAAAAACACTTGGAATGTAGAGCAAAATGGTACAGAAAACTTTATCGTTCTTTCCTTTAGATATATCTGGACAGGAACTGAAAACCCTCTCACATGGGACTTTATTAAGTAATAAAAGCTTGAATGTAAAAGATAGAAAAGAATGAGGATATAAAGGAATTTTTTTTAAAAAACTGTGACTCACTGGAGGAGTCTTATATAGTCCTGCTTTATAAGCATGTCACTTTTAAAGGGATCATTATATTTTCATGACTCACAGAGATATTCCAAATATGAAATTGATGATTAAAATGAAGAAAATCATCAATTCAGTCTTATTTTCTATATAGGTTTCACTACAATATTTTATTTCCCCAGCAAGGAAAAAACCAGAGCTAGAATGGAATGATTAAATTTCTTAGTTTTCTTCTAATTGGTTAGTCTTTCCATGAAATTATACTGCCTTCTTACATAGAATTTCTGGGTTCTTGTTTTGGCAGCAGTTGAAGTAACAGGATGGTTTTATGGTAGAGGTTGGATTCCATTCTAGATTGGGCGTTTCGGCTGTGTGGGACATAATCCATTCATGGTTCATACAGCCATTTTAGGAGGTTTCATGTCTTCATATACATATATGTACACACACACATATATTTTGTACATAAAGTATCATTGTTTATGATACTTCATTGTATACAGTAAGGGTTAGTACTGTTTTATGGTACTTTAATTTGGTATATATACATATACTAAGAATGCAGACATGTCCATAGAAGTCAGCAGTATTCAGCCCACAGTAGGCCCCAGTCAGCAGGACAGGGATTGGGGAGTCAGGTGAGGCAGGGCTGTGCAAGTGCAGGGCCGGATCCTGTCTTGGTTTACAGTTTGGACATTTTGTTTATTGTGGATTTTTTGCATTAAAATTTTTTTTTATTAAATTATACTGAGTTTTTGGTACCCCCTTAAATTTTGCTCCTAAAATAAAAGGCTCCCTTGTCTCCCCCTAGTCCGGGTCCTGATCAGTATGTTGTACAGGGGGAATGGTGACTGTTGGTGTACTGGGAGCCTGGGAGGAGGAATGGCTGATGTGTCTGATTCTTCTCCTTTCTCTAGGAAGCAGACGGAGGTGAAGTCTTAAGAGTGAGGGGACTGACCCTGGGAGGGGGAAGAGTTAGCATGGCTGCCGAAGAGACTGGGAAAGGGAGAAGGTCCGGGACAAGTACGAGAAGAGTCACACAGCACTGAAAACTCTGCCCAAAGCTAGAGAGCGCCATTTGTGGTGACGCTGCCTGCCTGGTAAGTTCTATTTTCCCAGCAGCCCTGGAGGTGTCGCGGGAATAGGAAGATAGGCGGGCGCTGGGGTCTAGGGTTACTGGGGTGGGAGGGCAAAGGTGTCTGGCGATTCTGCATCTGACATAGGGGAGGTGTGTGAGGAAGAAAGGTCAGGAGACTGCTGGGCGCGGTGGGGTGGCAGAAGGTTCTCGATGGGGCAGGCATGGCAGGGGTGGGCAGAAGGTTCTCGATGAATATTTAGAAGTTGCAGTGGAGGAGTGAGTGTACTGTAGACTGAGTGTCCTGGAATTTGAGGTCTCAGAAGAAATGCAGTCCTCAGTGAAGCCATGTAAACAACTTCCTGGCTGATAAGCTGTCTTGAGTGTCGGGAGATAACATGATCAAAATCGTCACACATCATAAGGTTCCCTTAGACGTCAGTGTATCGTATGTCTACTAAATAAAATGCAGAAATACAGTTCACTGTTGCTTCTCTTCCTGGAAATTGCCATCCTCAACCTCGAACCCATCCCCACGTGGGACAGGGTCCATCTTTAGACCCTCCTGTGGCACCCAACCTACCTATGTGGTCAGTGTCTCTCTTCCCCACTTAGCACTCCAAGACCAGAGCCTTGTTAGTCCTGCTTTCTCTCTCTACCCACTTGTTAACCCCGCCTTAACTTTCTGATGAACAAGCCCTTTTTTCATTGACTCCTCCTTTTTCTCCTTCTTCGGAGTTTATTTTTCCTCCAGGCCCATTGCTCTCTCTCCCTGTAGAGAGCTCATCCACATTCATGAAATGAGTCATCTTCATGCTCACAGTACCCGCCTGGACCTCTCCAGTCCTGTCTAACTCACCTGAAATTACTCTCTGGACATTTGTACCTTTTTGTCTCTCTATTACTCTCTATTACCTCAAGCTCAACACAAGTCTAAAATCAAATGGCAGTCCCCATTCACTCCTAAATCAGGAGACCAGTTTTCCCTCCCTTGTCAGTAATGCTTTAAATTACTGCTCAATCCTCTTCCTCAGTTACTTCCCATCTCAGGTCATTCATCAGGTCCCACTACATCTTTGTTTTTCTTGAAAACGGTCGTCTTTACACCTTCCTTCCTTCCCCACTTTCACCACCCTCGACTAGGCCTTCCTCACCTCATCCAGCCTCAGTATGAGCCCTGAGAAACCAGCATCCTGATCTCCAGGCATTCTGCCTTTCACCCTGTACACCATTGCCAGTAGAATCCCTCTTGCTCAAACTTAATACTGATCAAGGGAGTTACCATTACAAACAAAACCAGACATTCCTATGACTTCTTGCTGCTTTCTCTACCCTTAAGACTCCTCTACCTGATTTTCAAGGTTCTCCATAAGCAGGTTCCCACCTCTCTGCTTTCAAATCTATGCCTGTTACTTGAATAGCTGCCGTATGCAATTCTTTCCTTTCTTGTCTGAAACAAAGATTATTCCTACTCCCGCAGCCACCTAAATCCTGGTCATCCCCAGGCCCTCCTAAAATCCTGACTCCTCCAACCCCCACTGATCTCTCCACTTGCAGAGACTTTCCTCTTGTGCCTGGGGTTGGTATCATGCAAATTAGTGCTGACAGACTACCTTGCACCGGTTTGCCCGTTGTTGTCTGTGCCAACTATGCTTTCATGTGGGAACTAGGAGTCTTGTCACAAACAGAGTGTAAATGCTTTGAGACTGGAGACTGTAAAATCTCCTTTATGATCTCCCACTGTGTCTGGTGGAAGAACCCGCAGAGTAAATACTCATATGCTTGTAGGATTAATTGAAACACTGGAGACTGTTTAACTTGAACTGAAAAGTGCAGACCTCCCCATCTTGATTAAAACTTCAAAATGGATAACAGGTTTTCCGTATTATCTCAGGGTCACAAAAGTAGACTCAACAAAGAAAGGAGTTGACACAGGGATAAGGTTTTAAAAAATCAGGGATTATTACAGGGAAACTGGTAGCCTTTGGGTGTGCTAACTCGTTATTTTCCCAAAAAGTTTAAAGAGTGTGAAAGAATATTCTTGGGAGTAACTGAGGGGCACGGCTCCCAGACTGAAAAGTATTTGGGGTCTATCACCTCTTTTCTGATGTTCCTACCTCTATTAGAAAAGATAACACTAGGAATACCTGTTCCTTCTCAGTCCGAACAGAAGCATACCCAAGTTGCATTTGAGGTATCTGCATATTTTCTTCTAAGCAATTCTTTGTCCTCTTCTCTCCCATGCTCTATTTCCTATTTGCAGCAGGCTCTGAAGTCATCTGTACTTTTTACTGCTCCTCAGTATCATTACATGGATATTCATCCCTGATTTGCAGATTAAAGCACTGAATCAGAGTGAAGCGGGAGTTGCCCGAGGTAACACAATAAATCTGGCCCCAAACAGGGGTAACCCCTGAGTTTCCAGCCTGTTGATTGGCCACTGACCCGTGCGGCAGGCACACAAAGGAGCTGCACCCACAGCACTCTGTTGTGGATGGTTGCTGAGCTTCGCATTTAGCATTGCGCTTGCTTTGTTTCCTGCCAGGCCCAGCATTTTCTTCCACCAGATCGGCAGGCTTGTGGGCTTCTTCCCAGGGCCCTCTCCTGCACTCTGGCTAGGAAAGCTGGAAGCTGTGCTTTAGAAAAGCTTTAAGACGCTGTAGGAAACCAGAAGAGTGAGCGCCAGTTGTCCGTCCGTGGTCTCCATCCACAATGCCGGAGCTGGGTGCCACACTGTTGACTTGTAATTGATGAATTTAGATGGGGGTGGGTGAAGGGCAGATGGTGGGGCTGCGGAGGGGTGGGGCAGTGCTTTTGATTTAGGCTGGGAAAGGCCTAGTGACTGTTCAATTTGGAGGAATTCGGATGTTCTTTTGTTATGCAAGTGAAGCTGTGTGATAAAAATGAGGAGTTTTACCTTTCCTAAATAAATCTTCCCCTTATCAGTCTAGTATTGTCAGTGAGATCTGGTTATGATTTATGTAAAGCATGGCTAAAAAATTCAAACTGCTTTGGGAGGCCGAGGCGGGTGGATGACGAGGTCGGCAGATCGAGACCATCCTGGTCAACACGGTGAAACCCCGTCTCTACTAAAAACTACAAAAAATTAGCTGGGCACGGTGGCGTGTGCCTGTAATCCCAGCTACTCAGGAGGCTGAGGCAGGAGAATTGCCTGAACCCAGGAGGCGGAGGTTGCGGTGAGCTGAGATCGCGCCATTGCACTCCAGCCTGGGTAACAAGAGCGAAACTCTGTCTCAAAAAAAAAAAAAAAAAAAAAAAAATTCAAACTGCTGAGGGGGAGAATTCTCACTTTAGAACTTCACATGCTGTGCTGAACTAAGTATCCCACATAGGATGTTGGCTTTGTGACCATCTTCTGTCATTTTTCAGAAAGCATTTTGACTTGTGATGTCAATTTGGAACAGTTGAAAAAATACAGGAAAATAAGGGAACTACATACATACTAAGGGTAGGGATAAAATGAATGTTTTGAACCAGCTGCCAGCTTACAGTAGCCATGTAAACAGCAGCAGCCACGCACCAACATGGTGAATACTAGGCCTGATTCATGGAGACACACCAGCACCTTGAATGAGTCAGGTGCATGCTGGGCACAGGAGCAGCTGGACTTGTACGCGGAGAGTCTAGCACAAAGCTCAGACTTGCAAACAACGGTAGTACCTGCAGAGCATGCTGGCATTGGAGCTTGCTGGGCACAGTTGCTCAGGACTAGGCAGCTGGTTTTGCCTTTGATCCCTGAGATTCCAAAGGTTACTTTCCTCTTGATTCCCATCCCAGGGTCAATCAGAGTAGAAACTGCAGAGGCATTTCAATTGAGAATATTCCTAGAATTATTAAAATGTATTCTGGCTTACAATCTGCCATTAAGAATTCTGTTACCTTGCTTTAAGCCTTCAGTTCCTTCAGGGTGTATTGTGGAGGAGGACAGAGGGCCCTTGCCTTGGGGCTTCAGAGGATGGTCCTTCTCTGGATGAGCACTATGGAAAGACTGACAGGGAGTGCCCCCCTGAATGAAAGTGATTTTGCAAAGTTTAGGCAGATGCCACCAGCAGAAACTGATATTTTCTGCCGTCTTTCTCACCTTCTTCTAGAGCATCCAGTCCAGAAATGAGGAAATTTTCCAAGGGGAAAATTAATGATATTGATCTGTTTCTTAGAGCAGTGTTTCAGCTTTTTTTTTTTTGAGACAGAATCTCATTCTGTCACTCAGGCTGGAGTGCGGTGGCATGATGTAAGCTCATTGCAGCCTCCACCTTCCTGGTTCAAGTGATTCTACTGCCTCAGTCTGCCAAGTAGATGGAATTACAGGTGTGCGCCACCACACCCGGCTAACTTGTATTTTTAATAGAGATGAGGTTTCGCCATATTGCCAGGCCTGTCTTGAACTCCTAACCTCAAGTGATTCGCCTGCCTTGGCCCCACAAAGTGCTGGGATTATAGGCGTGAGCCACTGCGCCTACCCTTCAGCCTTTTTGATGGTAAAGCACAGTAACACATTTCCCATCACACCCCTGAATCTCATTCACACACATAAACCCCAGAAGTTTCACAAAATGATTTTTGCTCTTATTACTTTCAGTACACTCTGCATTTAAAAATGAAAGCAAAAGCAGGGCTGGCTGTGGCTTCCTAAGTGGTGCATGCAGTTTTTAAATCAATGCCGTCGGGGGTAAAGTGTGCCCTATACTGATTATCTCTGGACAAAGTCTAAATGGGGCTTGTCTCTAATCTCTAGTCTTCCTTGGACATTTTACGTGCCTGGCCTTTGCCTCCACCCTGATGTGGAGTGCTGATGGGGGTGGGAAATACAGCTGGATCCCAAAGCCCTAAAGTCGGGAAGGAGGTATCACAGCTGAGGCTGGGCCCATTCTGCAGGGCACTCAGTGTGTGCAGTTGGTTTTCCATCAGGGGTCAATGGTGGGGGGACTTGAGGATAGATCCTTGGCACAAAGTGGGGCCTTGGCCCTGGGCTTGCTGTGTGATTAAGCCTACATGGCTCTCTCCCTGTCAGTCCTGTCCAAAGCCCAGGAAACTAATGTACCACCCCTGAGGAAGAGAGCCTACTTCTCCAGCCAAGAAAGTGTTGTGCTTGTGGTAAGCATGGGGGACAGAATCCTTGAGGAAGGAGGGTGCTTCATCCCAGGGGTAGAAGAAAAGAGAGGACCTGGGATAGGCAGCCATGGCATGGACCTCAGCTGAGGTGGCACTTGGCTGGGTGTCCTGACCCCCAGTCCTTCCCCAGTAACCATCACTTTGATTGAACGGTGGCTCCACCCCCAGCATGGTTCTTTGCACTGACATTTGGTGAATGCCTACCAAGGGTCACAGCCTGTCCTGGATGCTGAGTGTAGGGTATCTACAATATCGTGCCTAAAAAGTCTCTGTACGGGATATAAGAAGGTGCTGGGACAATACAGATGAGAAGCATCTTTCAGGAAATGGGTTGATCCCAGTTCAGGCTTCCCAGAGAAGGATGCCCGTAGACGTCGTATTAGCAAGGGAGGTAGGGTAGCCAGGCCACAGGACTGCTGGTGTAAAGACCAGCATGTGAAATGGCAAGTGTGACTGTGCTTTCATCCAGTCATTTGGTATTGTCAAATGATGTGACCAGACAGCTGGAGAGGCAGACCCTAAAGGGTCCTGTGTGCCAGGCTAGACTTCATCTTGTCACTAACTAACGGAGAGGCACTGAAAGGAGTTAAGAGAGCTCAGTTAGTCTCGTGGTTAAATCCAAGTTTTACAAAGGTCTCTCTGACTGTACAGTGGAAGACGGGTTGGCTGGGGGATCATCTAGTCAGGGTGAAAAGTGATGATAACATGAAGAGGTGAGAGATTTAGAAGTGATTTGCAGGATTAAACATTTAGATACGGAAGTGGAGGAAAAGGGGAGTTTCCAGATTTCAGGTATAGATGAAAGAAGTGCAGTTAGGCACAAATAAAGGGAAATAGGAACAGCAGGTTTTAGGGGAGAAGATGACAGAATGGGTCAGAAGAAACGAAACTTGAGTACCCTAGTGCGCTAGGTAATTATCTGACTACTTCCCTCCATTTGTCATGTATATTCCATTTAATCTGCATAAAGACTTTGAGTGAAACTGTCATATCCCAATTTGTCAGATGTCTGCCTTAGATGCATCATAGTGTACAAGGAACGGTAAGTGGCTGAGGCAGCACTGGCATTCAAATTGCCTGACTACAAAGAGTGCTTGTTGGCTACATTCTTTTGTTTCCCAGTTTAGAACATGTTTCACTGAGGTGCCTGTTGTATTTCCAAATAAAAAAGTAAAGAAAGAAGGTGGCTGGGCCGGGCGCGGTGGCTTTGGGAGGCCGAGGCGGGTGGATCACGAGGTCAAGAGATCAAGACCATCCTGGTCAACATGGTGAAACCCCGTCTGTACTAAAAAAATACAAAAAATTAGCTGGGCATGGTGGCGCGTGCCTGTAATCCCAGCTGCTCAGAAGGCTGAGGCAGGAGAATTGCCTGAACCCAGGAGACGGAGGTTGCGGTGAGCCGAGATTGCACCATTGCACTCTAGCCTGGGTAACAAGAGCGAAACTCCATCTCAAAAAAAAAAAAAAAAAAAAGAAGGTGGCTGTATGAATCTGGAGCTCACAAGTAATTTTGATTATGGAGAGTTTGCTTTCAAGGAGCAACTTGTGACTCCTTGATTATGAACTTTAATTAAAAAAAAAAATCTCACTCTTATTCCTGCCTTGTCTGGGGCAAGCCTTGATGGATTTTTACTGCTGTGAATTTTCTTTTCATTTAAGATTTTGCCTTGATCTGTGTATCCTTTCATCCTGACTGTATTCAAGTCAATATATTCATGAATATGCCCATTTGGAGTGAAATTTGAACTTAAGTATACAAGATTATAGCCATTTGGGAGGCCTTTTTTTTTTTTTTTTCAGAATAGAAAAAGATCTCTGTATTCTGAATGGGAAGACGGTATAAAGCATTTTTTTCCCTTTTCCTGTCCTTCTTTACAAAAAAAAGTAAACAGCCATTTGCCTCTGCTAAATACTAACTGCATCATCACCTTTTGTCCATATCAGGCAGGTTACATTTGGTTTTAAGGAATTCGGAATACATTTTTTCCAGCCCCTCAGTAACCCACACGATTGTGATTCTCTTGACTTTGCTAGGTGGCATGGAATGCTCACATGGAATTGCCGCCTGACGTCGCTCACCACGCTTCCTGAAGGATGCCCATGTGGAAGAATTTTGACGTGCCAGTGTCCTCATTCTACAGGGTGTTCCATTCCTTTGCAATCTCAGAAAAATGGGATTAAAATAACTATTTTTTAAAATAAGAAGACTGTTTTCCATTTTTAATGGCCAACATGTATTAAGATGGACATCTACTCCACGCAATACGAAGCTCTATGGTGGCGAAGAAGCAAGTGCCTGTTTAAAACTGATCCTAAATAAAAGCACTGGAGTGGATATGAGAATGTTGGTTAGTGGCAGAAGAGTCAAAAAATGGCAGTTTATTATTCGGTTATTCGCCACTTGTTTTATACTGAGCCTCATGTTTTTTTGGGAACCGATCGATAACCACATTGTGAGCCATATGAAGTCATATTCTTACAGATACCTCATAAATAGCTATGACTTTGTGAATGATACCCTGTCTCTTAAGCACATCTCAGCTGGGCCTCGCTACCAATACTTGATTAACCACAAGGAAAAGTGTAAAGCTCAAGATGTCCTCCTTTTACTGTTTGTAAAAAGCGCTCCTGAAAACTATGATCGACGTTCCACAATTAGAAAGACCTGGGGCAATGAGAATTATGCTCAGTCTCAGCTGAAAGCCAACATCAAAACTCTGTTTGCCTTAGGAACTCCTAATCCACTGGAGGGAAAAGAAATGCAAAGAAAACTGGTTATGGAAGATCAAAAGTACAGTGATATAATTCAGCAAGACTTTGTTGATTCCTTCTACAATCTTACTCTGAAATTACTTCTGCAGTTCAGTTGGGCAAACACGTATTGTCCACATGCCAAATTTCTTATGACTGCTGATGATGACATATTTATTCACATGCCAAATCTGATTGAATACCTTCAAAGTTTAGAACAGATTGGTGTTCAGGACTTTTGGATTGGTCGTGTTCATCGTGGTGCTCCTCCCATTAGAGACAAAAGCAGCAAATATTACGTGTCCTATGAAATGTACCAGTGGCCAGCTTACCCTGACTATACAGCTGGAGCTGCCTATGTCATCTCTGGTGATGTAGCTGCCAAAGTCTATGAGGCATCACAGACACTTAATTCTAGTCTTTACATAGATGATGTGTTCATGGGCCTGTGTGCCAATAAAATGGGAATAGTACCACAGTACCACGTATTTTTTTCTGGAGAGGGCAAAACTCCTTATCATCCCTGCATCTATGATAAAATGATGACATCTCATGGACATTTACAAGATCTCGAGGACCTTTGGAAGAATGCTACAGACCCAGAAGTCAAAACTATTTCAAAAGGTTTTTTGGGTCAAATATACTGCAGGTTAATTAAGATAGTTCTCCTTTGTAAAATTAGCTATATGGACACATATCCTTGCAGGGCTGCATTTGTCTAATAACAGTACTTGAATATTGTATGTTTTCACTGTCACTGAGTCAAACCTGGTTGAAAAAATCCTTTAAATGTTTGTCTGTACCCTAAGTAAAATGAACATGAAAGACATATATTTTGATAGCCTAGGCCATCAGAATGTTTCTTTGATTCTAGAAGCTGTTTAATATAACTTACCTACTTCATTGCCTAAATTTGTTTCAAAGAATTTGTATTTAGAAAAGGTTTATATTCTTAATGAAAACGAAAGGAAAGGGAAGCTCACATTCTCATTTAATGCCACAAATATACTTGAGGTGTAGAGATGTTCTTAAGAAGTCTTGGTGTTAGAATAACTGCTTTTGGAAAATATCAAATGAATGTATAGTACAGCATTTCAAGGAAATGTATATATTATTAGACCAGGTAAACCAGTTTATTTTTGTTAAAGAGTACTTGGTGGAGATGATAGGGGCAGGGAAAGGTCAGCATAGGAGAGAAAGTACATAAATCTGGTAAAAGAAAGTCTCTTGTTCTTAAAAGGAGATGTAGGAAAATGTGTACAATTTTATTATACACAGACAAATCCCTTATTATCACATCCATATAGCTATTTTACCTAGATGGTGTTAGAGTTATTAAAATATACTTGTATCTTTTTTCAAAGTTCAATGCAAATTTTGAGAAAAGTCATTAACGCTGCCCTAGCTAATACTTTATATACGTTTTTAATGGATTTTTAAAAATATTAGAAAATGACTCATAAAATGGGCAGCTGGTTGCTCACAGGGGCCTTCTCTAGGGAGAAACCATTTTTAATTCAAATAAGCTCATTTTAATGAATTTTTCAACTGGTTTTTAAGTATTCAGTATTGGCCTGTGTCTAAGGTAGTTATTCGAATGTACTTTCCATAGAGGAATATAATAATGGACAGACTTCAAATGGAAAGACAGAACGTTAAAAGCTAATTTCTCCATAATTTTATAAGGTGAAATCTGAGTGTCTAAATCATTGTACTGATTACTAAAATTAACCCACCCCTCCCTAAAAGGTCTTATAAACACAGCACTTTGTTCCAAGTTTAGAGTTTTAAATTGAGAGCATTAAATGTCAAAGCTATCATATCTAAAACAATCTACTTTCATCAAATAACTGTTAGAAGCGATCTTTATTTTCTAAATATTTCAAACTTGAAAACAGAGTAAAAATGTGATAGAAAAGTTGCCAGTTTGAGGTTTAAAGCATTTTTAAAGCTGCATGTTCCTTGTAATCAAAGAGTTGTGTCTGAGATCTAATAAAGTAAGTTACATTTCTTTTATAAAGCAGGATAAAAATGTGGCTATAATACACACTACCTCCCCTCACTACAGAAAGAACAAGGTGGTGTCTACTGCTAGGGAGATTATATGAAGGCCAAAATAATGACATCAGCAAAAGTGGCTGAACTGACTCTAAGACCTTTGCCTGCAGGAGGGACCTGCTAGGGAAAATAAGATGTCTCATATAATAAGATGATGTCTGAAACATGCAAAACAAAACTAAAAAAAAGTCTCAGTGTACACAACTGGATGATGATACTTACAGTTTTTAGCAGGTAGCATTTTAATGTTTACAGAAATTGTAATTTTTTTTCTATTTTGAAATTTGAGGCTTGTTTACATTGCTTAATTTAGCATTTTTAACTAATGTCAAAATGACAGTGTCAAACATTCTAGGTTGTAGTTACTTTCAGAATAGATACAGGGTTTTAGATCATTACAATTTGAGTTTTCTGACCAATTAAAAAAAAAAACTGTAGAGAACAAAAGCATACTTGACCAAGCAACAGGCTTATAATTAATTTGTATTAGTTGATTCTTTAATAATGTTTTGCCTTTTGGCCATATATACCCTGTGTATCTATACTTGGAAGTGTTCAGAGTTCCCATTGGTTGAAAACATCCCTGTCTCTGGCCATCAAAGTGATCTTGTTTACAGCAATGCTTTTGTGAAACAATTATTTATTTGCTGAAAGAGCTCTTCTGAACCGCGTCATTTTTAATTTTGCTTAGAATAGAAATGGAGCAGGTTTAAATTTCAAGGAAATATGAAAGCACTTCCTTTTTTTGTCTAAGAAGCAAGTTGCTAGATGATTCCTTCATCACAGTTAAAGTACTGGAAAGAGTATTTGTAAATAAAAGGGTTCCAACCTTTTAAAAAAGAAGGAAAAAACTTTTTGGTGCTCCAATCAAGGACTATCTTTTTTAAAAATGTCAACAAAGGGAAAATAAACTATCAGCTTGGATGGTCACTTGAATAGAAGATGGTTATACACAGTGTTACTGTTAAAATTTGTTTACCTTTTGGTTGGTTTGCATCTTTTTTCCATATTGTTAATTTTGTACCAAAATGTTAAATATTTGTATTATTTGAATTTTGCTCTTGTATGGCAAACTAATTAGTGGGTTTTAAAAAAAAATCTATGATTTCCAATAAACAACTGAAAAATTATCAGGAGATATGTATTTAAACTTTTTCATGAACATTGTTTATATAATCATTCATTCTGTTTTAATGTACTACATGATCTTAGCTTGATTCCTGTAGGATTTTCATGTTCTCTGCATTATAGAGCCATCTAAGATGCCAATGTTCTTAAATGACTCATGCTAGAATGTCTAGATGGGGAGATGTTCTTTCCTCATATGGTCCTGTGCCACAAAATGACATTTTGGTTAACAGTGGACCACATATATGATGACAGTCCCATGAAATAGTAACAGAGCCGCCCTAAACAGGCGTGCCATTTTTAATCTTTTATACCATATTTTTGCTGTACATTTTGTATATTTAGATGTGTTTAGATACACAAATACTTTCCACTGTCTTACAGTTGCCTGCAGCATTCAGTACAGTAACATGCTGTACAGGTTTGTAGCCCAGGAGCAATAGGCTCTACCAAATAGCTAGGCGTTTAGTAGGCTGTTCCATCTAGGTGCTCGCATGTATTCCCTGCGATGTTTGCACATCAATATGCTCACCTAAAGATGCATTTCTTGGCCAGGTGTGGTGGCTCACACCTGTAATCCCAGCACTTTGCGGGGCCAAGGCGGGCAGACCACCTGAGGTCGGGAGTTTGAGACCAGTCTGGCCAACATGCTGAAACCCCAACTCTATGAAAAATATAAATATTAGCTGGGTGTGATGGCAAACACCGGTAATCCCAGCTACTTGGCAGGCTGAGGCATAAGAATCATTGCACCTGGGAGATGGAGGTTGCAGTGAGCCGAGATCGCGCCACTGCACTCCAGCCTAGGCGACAGAGCAAGACTGTCTCAAAAAAAAAAAAAAAAAAAGATGCATTTCTCAGAACTTATCCTCATTAAGGAATGCATGACTATATTCTGTTCAGAAAGGGATGAAATCACCTGTAGCTATAGCACCTTAAGATACCGTTTGAAAAGGTTACATTTTCCTTTTCTTTGTTAGCTGTCCGAAATACAGTCAATTTTAGCCGTAATCTCCTAATATCAGGAATGCCTTTATACTTACTTTGGAGTGTTTGGTGCTTCGATATATTTGCAGGCAGTGTGCTCTCATCTGTTTTTTACGTGATTCCTGCTCAATTCTTCACATAGTATATTGTGTAACTCAATCCATATCTGAAACTTGTAAGCATCTGAATTATTTGGTTATGGTGGAACTTTTTACTTGCAAGGCATGGTAGGAGTGTGGGTAGTTGTTGCTAAAATGTGATTACTTGGAAGAATTAATGACCTACATTTGGGGACTTTAATTGGATACTATAGCTGCAGTAAGAACAGAACCAGAGAACTCTTGATATGCAAGGTTATTCATTCTGCTATAACGATGAGAGGAATATTCGATGTCTCTTTGAGCCAGTTTTCCTTTCAATCACTTCTGCATTCTGCAGTGACAAAATCCTTAATCATAGCTTTCATTACAGTATTCCTCTACTCCAGACTTCAAAGACTCCTTACTGCCCCCAGCATCAAATCTAAACTCTTCTACCTGGTTTTCAAGGCCCTGTGTCATAATCTTTTCCACCTTCATCCCTATAGCTTGGTTTTTACCACTGCCACTGTTATCTATTATAATTGTCATTCATGACCATACCTTGCTTAAGTTGGTTTTCCTTGCCAACAACACCTTCTTTTCTGTACCTGTTGAAATTTTGGAAATCCAATCCTACTTTCTTTTTCCTTAAGCATCTCTTCCTTCCCTCCTCCCCAGATTGATACATAGACACATACATTATTGTGCTACCTACTAATCATTCCATGTTTTTATTTTTACTTAGCTATAAGTTTTGAAGGCAACCATGCCTTGTATAATGCCCACTTAGGGTTCTAATTAAGCCCCCCAAAATCCGAATGCCTTCTACATGTCAAGCAAATTTGCATTATTTACACAGCAAAACTCAACTCTACAAAATCAAAAAGGAGTAAGGAAATATAACGGTTGCAGCAAAGACTAGTGATTTTAAGGTGTTTATTCAAAAGCTGGTGGTAGAATGAAAACAGCAGTCTTTGATTCTACCTCTTGATTAACTCAGTGGCTAAGTTTGCCTTTTCTCAAAGTCCTTTTGCAAGAACATAAAGATATTTTTGTTTTATTAGTTAAGCTCTGTAACTTTTTTCCTTTGTGTTTCTCATAAGAAGTATGATCTAGCAGTCTACCAGAAGTTTTTTGTTTTGTTTTGTTTTTGAGACAGGTTCTCGCTCTGTCACCCAGACTGCAGTGCAGCTGTGTGATTACTGCAGCCTCAGCCTCCTGGGCTCAAGCAATCTTTTCAGTCTCCTGAGTAGCTGAGACTACAGGTGTATGCCACCACACCCAGCTAATGTTTTAAATTTGTTGTGGATATGGGGGTCTCACTATGTTGCCCAGGCTGGTCTTGAACTCTTGGGCTCAAGTAAACCTACCTCAGTCTCCCAAAGAGTTGGAAAGTGTTGGGAGGACAGGCATGAGCCACCGCACCTGGCCTGCTATAAGTTAATACAATAATTCATCAACTAACTTAATGCTTTTAACTGAGACTCTTATAAAAGTAGGTATAAGTTTTAGTAAAAGTCTCAAAAGATAAACCGTCACTTAAGGAAAGCTATAGGACATAGCATTGCCAAATGGTGTTTTTCAGGAATTACACCATTCAACACTCACATTCTGAATTGGGGCATTCATTATAACTCAGGAACACACTTCAGTCAGTAAGAGCCCACAGATGTTTCTTTGAATACAACTTAAGTGAAAAAATATAAAGTAGTCTAATTAATATATCTTTAATCAAGGAGCAAGTTTGTAAAGATGTCTGTTCATTCATTCTACAGACATTTTTCAGAGGCCTGCCGAGAGTCAAGCATTATGATAGACCCCACAGATAAAAGCAGCATCCAAGTCAAACAGTGTGGCTATAAATAATGTGACTAGCACTAGCACGGGTGTCATGATGGGAATTCTGAGTATAAATATTTTTTAAAAATCAATTTCTCCTTGTATTTTTGGCTTTGACCTCCCTAATTTAGGCTTTCTAAATGGCATGATGTTTGCATGGATGCAGACACCTTTCTACAGAGCAAAAACAGCATGTGTATAAATTGTGTCTTTGGGGAATCAACAGACTTTAAATGTGTTTAAACCATCCAGTCAATAGCAACATAGGCTGACATGGAATAGTCTCTTGACAGTCCATTTTTAAAAACAGTGTATTCTTAGAAGTTTGGTTTCTAAGGTTTCACTTTACGCTCTTTTGCTTGTTGCTTTCGTAAGATTCACAAGTTTTGTTCTCAGGTATGTAAATGATAGTTAGTATGTAGGAAAAATATTATGATTCCTACCTGGGAAAGACAGTGCTGAGATGTAAAAGGGGATCCTCGCCACCTGCGCCTCCCCCCCACCCCCCACCCCCCCGGACCCATGAGTCTGCAGTATTTACCTGCAGGGGGAAGGGTCTCTGAGCCTGGCCGGCTGCTCCAGCTGAGGGTTCCCTCTCTCACGAAGGCTTTCAAAGAATTCTTCATTCTGAAGTGAAAGAAATTTTGTTAAGATTTGATACTGTGGGGACCTCCTAATCTATATTTTTCTCTCTCCTAATTTCTGTGTTTGATTTTGGTTTTGATTCTCTCAATGAGCAAAAGATCCAGTTTCTCATGCTGCTCTTTCTTGGGTTTTCCCCAACCACTCTGTGGATCCATTACAGTTTGCCCTTTTTGGCACCCATTAGGCACACTAAAAACTCATTCTGAAAAGCAGATATTGGCTGGGTGCGGTGGCTCACGCCAGTAATTCCAACACTTTGGGAGGCCACGGCAGACAGATCACCTGAGGTCAGGAGTTCAAGGCCAGCCTGGCGGGTATGGTGGCGGGTGCCTGTAGTCCCACTACTCAGGAGGCTGAGGCAGGAGAATTGCTTGAACCCAGGAGAGACGGGTTTTCACCATATTGGCCAGGCTGGTCTCGAACTCCTGACCCTCAGGGGATCTGCCCGCCTCGGCCTCCCAAAGTGCTGGGATTACAGGCAAGATTTAGATATTTTAGATTTAGAGATTCGATTTTTATGAAGCAATTCTTTATTTTCCTATTTATGGTAAACAAATTCCTGAGAATCAGCATAATTTATCCAGAATCAAAATACATATTAGTGAGTGAACAGAGATTAGATGGTGAATTGTCCTTAGTTCTGAAAAAGCACTTCCATTTCTTTTAATCTTTTGTTATTTTATAGCTCCTCACCACAACTGCCCTCCCACCTTTGCCTTTGATGCATTTGCAGGCTTCAGGGGACCAGGGAACAAAGCTGGGGCCTGGAAGCCCCACTATCCTGCCTGCTGGGGAGAACATGTCAAAATTACAGAGTATCACTGCAATTAGCACCTGTACTTGGGGGATCTGCAAAGTGAGGAGGCCCCAGCTCCTCACTGTACAGGGGTCTGTTTGGCAGTGACCTTACTCTGGAGACAATGATATTCCTTCAGCCTAAGGGAAGTGATGTTGATGAACCTGGTGGCATCAATTGGCTCATAATCGCCCTGCACCTTCCCACTCATCAGCTCCTCGTTGTAGAGAGATAGTGGGGACTCCCAGCCTAGGATGGACACCCAGCCCTTGAAGCCAGGGAAGACATCTGCACTTTCCCTTCCACTCACTCCTGGGACTTGGCGATACAGTGGTAGACAAATTCATACTCAGGGCTGTGCCAGAAACCAGTGTACACCAGCTCAGCAAATTTCAAGCCCAGGCCTTGATTTTGCACACTTCCTGATTATGGTGAAGGCCTCAATGTCTTAATGAGCGTGGTAAAGGATGGTGTCTGCTAGGGTCTTGTTGATACCTTGGAACTTCATTCCAATGAAGCAGTTCTCCATGATGTCAATATGGCCCACGTTGTGCTTGCCTGTGACTTTGTTCAGGTACCTGAAGAGCTCCAAGGAGGTCTGGTGGGTGGTGCCATCCTTGATGTTGGTCACCTTCAGGGACCCCTTTTTTGAACTGGATCTCAAGAATATCAGAGGTGTTGGGGGCTTTGGCCAGGTCCCGGGTCTTCGTTTAGAGACCTGGAGGTGCTTTGGTTCTTGGGGTTCTTCAGGACTTCAGCCTCGTGGCTGATGTGCATGAGGTTCCCGTTCATGCTCCCCGGGTTCTTGGGAGTGACCGGGATGGGAATCCCATGTTGCTTTGCGTATTCCATCAGGTCATTACAGCCTTTGAGCCAGTTGTAGAACTCGGGCATCCTCAGGAAGAATGACCTTTATCTTGGAGGCCAGCGAGTAGCAGGTGAGCTCAAACCGGACCTGATTGTTCCCCTTTCCCGTGGCGCTGCGGGACACATAGTTGTGCCCCTCCCGCTGGGCAATTTCCACTTGTTTGCGGGTGACACAGGGCCTAATGAGAGAGGTGCCCAGGAGGTAGCAGTCCTCATACAGCGCGCTGGACTGATTGCCGGTCAGATGAACAACTCCACAAACCCCCTCGAACACCTTTGGTCCCAAGCTTCAGTGCCTTCTTCCTGGCTTCCTCAGAGTCTTTCTTCTGGCCATTGTTGGCCAGGTAGGCAGTGATGTCATAGCCTTGTTCCTTCAGCCACATGAGGATGCAGGAGGTGTCCAGGCCACCACTGTAGGCCAGGACCACAGAGCCTTCGCTGGACACAGCATCTGGGATTGCAGGCGCGAGTTCCCGGCATCGCGTCTGGAATCTGTCTGTCTTCATGGGGCAGTGGACCACTCAGGCCCAGGCAGCAGTGGCAGGCAACAGAGCAGGGCCAGGCACTTCCATTTCAATCCATTTTATTAAAGTCTTGTTTTTAGTTTTATTGAGGTATAAGTTACGTACCAAAAAATTAACCTTTTTATATGTAGAGTTGGTTACATTTTCATACTTGTACATAGCTATGAAACCACCACAGTGAAAAGATAGAACATCTTCCCTATCCCCAAATTCCCGTTGCAGTCACTCCTGTCCCTCCACCTCCAGCTTCTGGCAGCCACTGCTCTGATTTCTGTCCACATGCTAGGCCTTTCCCAGAATGTCATGTAAATAGCATCATGGAGTAGAGTGTATACAGCCTTTTGAGTCTGGCTTCTTTCATGTAGCAAAAGGCTTTTGTGATCCATCCCTGGTGTTGCCTCTATCAGTAGTCAATGACTTTTTAATGACTATTTTATATTGTTTGAAGGTACCACAGTTTGTTTACCCTTTGCAGTCAATATTTTACAACATACACCAGGGAAACATCATTTACACTTTATAAATCAGGTTACGGTTCTGTTTAGATGTGTTAATTTACATTCTCAAAAAAGGTAGTATAGATTCAGAAAAGGCCCTCTTGCAGAAGTATTGTTAAGAGCAATTTAGTGAGTAAACACAAAGGTTCCATGTAAATTTGAACTACAAGTTGAAGGATGAGCTCTCCCCTGACTGAGGAATATAGATGGGAAATCTCCTTGCAAAGTAGGTGAGAGGGACAGCCCACTGCTCAGCGAGTGATCGACACTGCAGCTAGATTACGCTTCCTGGCTCCCAGAAAGCAGTCCAGGCAAGGCCCCAGCATCCACAATGCTGATCACGGGGTCTGCAATTTAAAATGTTGAGTGTACTAAAGAAAACTGTGGATCTTGGCCAGGTGCAGTGGCACACGCCTATAATCCCAGCACTTTGGGAGGCCGAGGCAGGTGGATCACAAGGTCAAAAGATCAAGACCATCCTGGTCAACATGGTGAAATCCCGTCTCTACTAAAAATACGAAAAAATTAGCTGGGCATGGTGGCGCACACCTGTAGTCCCAGCTACTTGGGAGGCTGAGGCAGGAGAATTGCTTGAACCCAGGAGGCGTTGGTTGTGGTGAGCCACGATCACGCCATTGCACTCCAGCCTGGGTAACAAGAGCGAAACTCCGTCTCAAAAAAAAGAAAAAAAAAAAGAAAACTGTGGATCTTTCATCTTTTTTGTAGGTGTCTTCCCAATTCTGGTATCATATCCAGAAAGCAAGCTAACTAAAGAAGTATCTGGGATACTAGTTTTGCCAATTCAGTTGTAAAATAATATGGCAATCTTATATTCTTATATTCCAGGTCTGCGCGCACGCGTGCACACACACACACACACACACACACACACGTGTTTTCTTTTTAAAATAGAATGTCAGTCCAATAAGAATCTAAATTTTAGTTCCCTCTACTATATATATATATATATCCATATCCATATATATATCCATATGTATATCCATATATATATATATATGACCAGGGACCAGATAATATTTTTCATGAGTCAATATATGGAAGTTGGCCAGGTGCAGTGGCTCACACCTACAATCCCAGCACTTTGGGAGGCTGAGGTCGGTGGATTATTTGAGGTCAGGAGTTCAAGACCAGCCTGGCCAACATGATGCAACCCTGTCTCTACTAAAAGTACAAAAATTATCTGGGCAGTAATGGCATGCGCCTGTAATCCCAGCTATTAGCGAGACTAAGGCAGGACAATCACTTGAGCCTGGGAGGTGGAGGTTGTGGCGAGGTGGTACCACGCCACTGCACTCCACTCTGGGTGACAGAGTGAAATCCTGTCTCAAAAAAAAAATATATATGTATTAAAAGATTTATTTAATTAAATATATATGTAAATAATATAATGAAATATAATCATATAATATACTTAACATATTTAACATATAAATGTATTTAATATATATAAATATACTACTAATATATATTTATATTTTATATTTATTATTTATATGTAATTTTATATAACATATACTTTATATTTATATTATCTTAAAATATAATTTATATTTTATTTAGATTTAAAAATTTTTATATTTATGCATTATATTGATATACTTATAAATATATAACATATTTTATATTTATATAATGTATAATATATATATTATATAATGTATAATATAAATATATAATGTATATATAAATATATATTTAAATATGTTAAATATTATATAAATTTAATTTAATCTATAATATATATAATATATAATGTATAATATAAATATATATTTAAATATGTTAAATATTATATAAATTTAATTTAATCTAATTACATATATATATATATATTTATGAGTAAATACCAGTCCCAGGATTCAAATTCAGTCTAATTATTTTCACCACACTACCAAAAGTCTTTCTCACATTTTCTATGTAAAGTTGAACTAATTCATACGGCAGTGAATGTTACATTGTATCCTTTTGCAGTTTCTCGTCTATGACATTCCTATTCCCCAATTCCACACTAGACTTTGAACTCAGTCTTACTCGTCTTTGGATCCCCAGCCTGTAATATAGGCCCTTCATAAACAGTGACCATTATTACTAACAAAACTTCCTCTCACTGTGAAACCTGCTCCGGGTTATAAAATGCATTGTGCTCTTTGGAACTCTATTGATCTATTGTATGCAGAGTGGATTAATGGAGTCTTATTTCGTAATAACCTAGTGATGGAAAAGTAACAATGACTCAGGAATAGGTAATGGACTTTGTCATCTTTTACAGTGAATGAT